ACCTCGACGCAGACCTCCACGTTCAAATTCCCCTCTGTGCCTTACTAGATTGGCTAAGTTGTTCAACGTGCCAGGTTCTTATACGTCCTCAACTCTTCAATGGAGATAATAATAATGTGTGATACTCCAGCCTTCATTACTGCTAGACAGACGAGAGACCTTCAAAAAGTTTGTGGAAAAATTCCATTATCTTTTCAGTCCATTTTTTCAAGAACTTTTTGAAACCCTCTCATATGTGGGTTAAAATTCAAACAAGATAGATGTTAATGGAAGAATGTGCTGTAAAAATTACAAATGTATATGTATATTGTTGTTGTTGTTAAGTGCTGTCGAGTCAGTTTTGAGCCATAGTAGCACTGTATAGGGTTTCCGAGGAACAGCTGGTGAGCTTGAACCGCCGACCTTACACTTCAAAGCGACTTCGTAGTTCAGCACACTAACCCACAATACCACACCAGGACTCCAATGTATATATATATATACACATATGTTTGTGTGTATGTGTGTGGAGAGAGAGAGAGTTCTGGTGTGATGCTGTGGGTTAACAAGCTGGACTGCAAGGTCAGTTTGACCTGCAAGGTCAGCAGTTCAAGCTCCTCTAGAAGCCAGGAAGGCATGATTTCACCTCAATATTGTGGACATATTATCATAAGGGACCCTGAGTAGGATATCATACTTGGTAAATTAGCAGGCCAATGAAAAATGACCCCTAATGGGATGGATTGAAACCCTATTAAGGGTCCCTGTGAGTCGGAACCGACTCAATGGCATCTAAAAATAACAACATATATAGAGAAAATGCTCGTTCTCACCATAAAAACAAAAGTCATATAATTGATTATGCAACGATTGCATGAAACCTACCTGTGCCCTTATAGAGAAGGTTAGTGTGTAACTTAAAATGTTCAAGTTCAAAGTCCCTTTGAGACGTGCAGGTTGGTGGCACCCTGCTTCTGATCCCACCTCAATCCCCAACCTCCTCAGGTTGTAACCGACTGATGCTCCCTGTGAACCACCCTCCTCTTCAGAGGTAACTGAAGATTTTGTGTGGTGGTCCCATATACATCCCAGAAATGAAGGCGAGAGGAAGAGAAACCTGGAGGTTTTGGAGCTGTCGAGCCTAATGAGAGCCAGCATGGTTTCCACCTGACTGTGTGGTACCGCTCGTCCTTTTGGTTTACTGTACATATCAGCAGACTGACAGCAGAAAGGAGAGAGAGAAGTGTCACTTCAGAAGCTCTGAAGCCTTGGGGACCCTGCATCCCAGTCTAAAGCCCCAGTGTCTGGGAAATAGGCCGGAGACATCTTTCATGAATTAAGTCATTGAAGATGACTTACACAGACGTTGTTAAAGCTTCAACATTTATTGCTGTACATTTTCTCATAGCAATTACTATGGAAACACTAATAGTGCAAATACTTATCTTGGACTTTGTAGCATTTGAGAGATCACAAAGCTTTTTGATATCTTTTGCAGTCATTTTTATGAAGTTCTATTGTATTCAGTTTACTGTTATTTAAATTCAAACAAATAATCTTATATCCAAAGAAAATACATAATGCTTTCTAGATCTTCTCTCTAGAACATTTTTTTTTTTTTTTTTTTTTTGGTCAATGCCTTCAGTGTAGCTTGGGCATCTTCCTTCAGTACTTACCAGTTCTTGATTTTTTTCTGGAAGCCACCAGGGGACTCCCTTCCTTGATATTACATCTTGCAACATTTTTCCAACTGCATGACTGTTCTTTCAGGAAGTCATGTGACAAATAGTTACTGACAAGCTATTATGTGCCAGGCACTGTGCTAGGTTCTGAGGACATCAGGATGGGAAGATGAAATCTCTGCTTTCATGGTGCTTACAGTCTAATAGTAGAAATGGACGTGCAAAAAAAAAAAAAAAAAAAGTTTACAATACAATAAAGTGCTTCCATGGAGGTATTTACAGAGTACAATCTGAACCTACAGTAAGGAAGAAATAGATATCTGCCTGGAGAAATCAGAGACAGCTTCACAGAGGAGGTAGCCATTGAACTGAGACTTGACCAATGATAAGGAATTTGCCAGGTAGACGAGCAGACAAAGGAAAGAGCATTTGCAAAAACATGGAGGCCCCAGTGGGCACTTCCTAGAACAAGTAGTACAATTTTTCTTGAGCCAAAAGTACAATGGGGATAGTGGAAGAATGAGACCAAATAGGTAGGTATCAGATCATGAGGAACCTTTTGATCATTTTTTCCATTTATTTAACAAATATTGAGTGTGTCTGGTGTGCCAGGTATTGGGCTAAGTGCTGAGGCTATAACAGGGAATAAATAATCCCTGCTCCTATGGAGCTTACATTCTAATGGTTAGATGGACAAAAAGTCAACAAAGAAAATACAGATTATTGGAAAATTGCTACAAAGGAAATAGGGTCATGTGGCAGAAAGTAAGTGTTGGGGTGGGAAATTAGAGTTAACAGCAAATGTCTCTTGGAAGTGATGTACAACTTGACAATGGCATGCTACAATGTGAGTACTCAATATGTCCCAGGCACTGTGTGCTAAAGACATCAGAGAAAGCAACTCATGAACCCTTACAACGGCTCTATGAGGTAGGTATTATAATTCCTATTTCACTGAGAAGGAACAGGCTCAAAGATTTTGAGTAACCTGATGAGTCACACAAATGGCAAAGCAAGAATTCAAACACAGGTTCTTCAAGTTTTAAAGCGCTTGCTCTTACAAGTTATTCTGAACTGCACGAGGTAAGGGAGTGGTTGGGGGCGGGATAATGAAAAGGTGACATTTGTCTGTGTAGAGAATCACTCTGACAACTCCATGGAGGAAAAGTGAAAGGAAAGAGGGTGGTGGGCAGGTAGAAAAGGGGACCCTCCCCCCCTGAGGAGGCCACTCCAAGAGCTGAGAGGAAATGAGGCTCGCTGGAGGGTATTGGTTGTGAGACCAGAGAACACAGCGCTTGGCAAGAAGACCAGTTAGCATTCTAACAGGAATGATAGGATGCTGGAGGGAACACCTGGGATCACTTCTCCTCTGGGCAGCTGGGTAGCATGGTTTGTTTTTACCTGAGTCAGGGAATGTGAGATAGTGTGAGATTTGTGGGCATAAGACATGCATTTCGTTTGGGACATGTTGTCCTAGAGTATACTAGGAACTCTAGATTTGTGGGGTGGTCTCCAGTTGGACACCATGTAATGCCTTTCATACCTTGTTCACCACCTGAGTAAAGGATATTAGGAGCAAAACAAAAGTTTTGCATGTTGTGTTTCTGTTTTTACAAAAGCTGTAGCTAACAGTATGGATATCTTGGTTGGACTGCTTTGTAAAAACCATATATGGCCACCAAGATGAAGTAACCCCTAAACCTAACTCATGAACTTGGGGAGGATAAGAAACAACTTTGGATATCCAGTCTAAATAATTATACTAACCCCCCATCCATCCCAATTGGGACAGTTTGATGGGCACCAAGAGTGTCTCTTCCCATCATCCTCCCAGAGCCTGCAAGGTCTCTTCGCATTCACCAGCAGGACCTCTCAAAGGAAGACAGGGGCCTGCAGCCCAGCGATAAAACCAAACCAAAACCAAATTCATTTATCATCAAGTCAATTCTGACTCATAGGGACCCTGTATAGGGTTTCGGGCTGAAAATCTTTACAGAAGAAAGTCTCCTCTTTCTCCCAGAGTGGCTCATGGGTTTGAACTGCAGACCTTGTGGTTAGCAGTCAGTGTTTATTATAAAATGCCATCAGGGCTCCTCCAGGGATCAAAGTTGAATGTAAATCAGGAATTCCAAGAAGGGGCTATTTATGTAGTTTGGTACAAGCAGACAGATAGCAGCCCAACCTCGCCAGTCATAGAGTTTTGACTGTCTCCCTCTTCCTTCCCTTCCTTGGGGACTGGAAGGGTTTTGGAGGTAGTGGCAATAAAATATGCAGGTGACACCGATGTGGAATTGGCCACATCATTTCTGGGTCTAATATTTAAAAGAACTCAGAATTCCTATATATATAAAATACCTTATTTGTGCTCTAGTTGACATTTGCTTGAATTTGCTTATAACAACCTCCTCCCTTCCTTGGCATCAGATTAATATACATATGTTTTGATTAAAATCAAACAAACAAACTCATTTAACAATGTTATGGCAGTTTTAGTAACTAAATAGCAAAGAATTTAAGCGGTAATGGAAATTACACTTGAATTTCAGGAAGAAAAAAAAAAAAAAGTTACTACTTTGGAGACCAGGTAGGTACTCAGGTACCGACTGGTAAAGTATGAGAAGTTGATTCACCAGAAAACTGGGATTAGAGGCCACCTCTTTCTGGGGCAGAGAGTCTGACTTTGACCTGTTATCTCAACATGCTTTGTTGTTGTTGTTGTTAAGTGCTGTTAAATCAATTCCCACTCACAGTGACCATGTATAGGGTTTCCAAGGAGCAACTGGTGAATTTGAACTGCCAACCCTGTGGTTCAAACAGACTTTGCAGTCCAGTGCTTTATCCCACAGCGCTAGAGAACATTAATCCCAAATTCAATGCTGATGAGTCAATTGTGACTCACAGCGACCCTACAGGACAGAGGATGCTTTCTAAGACCATCAACCTTTACAGAAGCAGATTTCCACGTTTGGCATTTTCTCTCCCACAACTTTTTGGCTATCAGGTGAGTGTGTAATGCTTGTGCCACCAAGTCACCATTAGAAAGTGCAAACTGTTCTGGGGGAAAACAACAAACACGAATTTCTAGTAGCATCTGAGAGGTACTTGTGTACCTGCCCAAGCAAAGAAAAATGTTGCTAGAACTTTCAGAAGCACATAGTGGATGACAGCTGAGAGATACTGGGGAAAGCAGCCTAATTCTCATAGAGCAAAAGTCTGAACGCTTTCCTCAACTTCGTACCTAAGGCCCAAGGAACCAAACTGAATGTAAATGAGGAATTCTAAGAGGGGTGGGGTGCTATTTATTGCGTTTGCTCTTAACAGAAAGAATCCCAGTCCGTCTGTGAATATAATCATTTATTTGTCTTTACAGTGATGATGGAAGAATGTACAGGTGTCCTCGTTCAATAGAAGTATAAAAATCTGTTTATATACAGTGACGTCATAACAATCTTTCCTGGGCAGATTTATTTGGTACTTCTGATCCACTCATATTAAAACCGTGGGGCACAATGATTTCATGTAAGTGCTGCGTCTCCGGCGGAATTGCACCTAGCATCCAAAGCCCAGCTTCATTGGGAGGGTCCTGCTTGATATTAAAAAAGACTACTTTTAAGTCCTTGGACTCAAAATAAACATCATTTCTTTTTTTTTTTTAATTGTAGATATATACATCAAAAATACATCTAAAAAGGCATTGGTTAGTGCTATGAAAAAGCTCTATATGTTTGGGTTCATTTTTTCTTACAGAAAAAAACCCAGTGGAAACATTTTTTGTTGAATTTCTAGGAATTTGCTCTTGGGGAAAGTCGGTCGAAAGTTACCTGTAATGAAACAAACAAACACAAATATAGCTTAAGTAAGTTAATGATTTCTCTGGGAAGAGGTCTGCAAGACTTGGAAAAGGTATTTGAGACTAAATTTCACTCAAAACCATATGCTCTCTAAAGCCTACAATTGGCAGTCTTTGCAACAGTTTGGACCAGGGTCACTTAATATATGACCCTTCATTGTTTCAAGTGTTTTATTCCTATGGCAATCGTTAATTAGCATTTATGTATTCCTTTCTATGCTTGTACAGATATTTTCTATCTACAATGAACTTACATCAACACTGAAAGAGAAAGTAAAAGACATACAAATGAAAAAAAGCTAACTGATACAGCCAAATCCAAGCATATTTTTTAAAAATTTAGAAAAGTTTCTGTTCACAGTGTTTTATTTTACTTCACAGATGTTTATTTTATTTCAGAACATTTATAGAAGACAGATATTTAACCTGGACCACATGGTACAGAGCAATTATCAATTACATTATCTGTGCATTCAGGACTATATCCCATCCATAGCTCAGCATCTGAACATCTCTGTCTTTTCAGTTAGCTTCTTGCAGTCATTCCTAAAATGTCTGTCAGAGAACCAGGGTACTTCTCTGAGGAACACAGTAAATCTCACAGTTATTATGTTTCTTAAGCACACCCTGCTAATAGGTGGCATTAGAAGGAGTGTGATGAAGTGGCCAGATAGAACAAAACAGTAACATGAAGACTCAGTTTCCATCTCTCCCAGAGATGAGAACTTGGCAACAGCCCACCCTTCCCCAATAAGCTACTTTCCAGTCCTTGTGTAGCGCTTGCTGCTGTATGACAGGCACTCAACCCACAAGGTTGGTTTGAACTGCAAGGTTTAAACTCCCCCGCCGTTCCTTAGAAACCCTAAACAGGGCCACTATGAGTTGGAACCTACTCCACGACACTTAACAACAACAGCATGACCATCTAATTAAGTCATGTGGCCGTGTTCTAGTTTGTTTTAACACTTTCAGGGTATATGGGGCTAAAGTGAGTGATTGAGGGAAAGAAACGTGACTTTTATCATTACAAAGAATTTCTAAATTGTCTACAGCCTCCAAATCTAAGGTGATTCTCAAATTTGTGCATCATACTTAATAGAGTCTCCCCATATTCAATATAGCTGAAGAATGGCTATTAAAAAAAAAAAAAAAGATTAATCACAGTTAATCTCCAAATACTACTCTGTTACTACCATTACCAACATCTATGCAGAACAGTGAGCCTTTGTCAGTTTTCCTAAATGCAAAGTCCTCAGACCCTAAAACACATAGTGGGTCTGAGTCCAGTTCTAGTAAAACCTTATTAATGACCTTGATCATCTCAATTGTTTTAGGAAAATGGTCTGAGAGAGGGCAAAAAGATAAGAAGGGGAGGGTTTTCTAAGAGTTGATTCTAGTTTAAAAAACAAAACAAAAGTCTCCAAAAGCTTCAGACTTTTCTTTGAAAGGCTTTACACATTGGCACTGTAGGATCAGCACTGGACTGCTAAGCACAAAGTCAGCAGTTCGAACCTACCAGTCACTCTTTGGAAGCCTATACAGGGCGGCTATGAATAGGAATTGACAGGATGACATTTACATAACAACAAGTATATTCATCAAAGCCCCCCCCCCCCCAAAAAAAATCACAGCCTTGTCAGAGTGCGGAACAAAACTGAAACTGTCAACACACCATCTTCCCATGCTCAAACAGAAAGCATGACAGCCGCACTGACCTAGATTTACATGCCTCTCTCTGTGTGATCAGCCAGTGCTGCTGTCTCCGAGCACGTCAATGCCGAACATGACACTGATTTCCTGCTTTCTGCATCACTGTGGTGGGAGCCACTCCCTGAGCTGGCAAAGGACACTCGCAGACAGAAAAGGGTGTGTTCACAGTCACACTCTTCCTCCCTGCAGCCCTAGCCCAATCTATCCCTGGCCAGTCTTCCCAGCTTAGCACACAGCACCTGCAGGCATTCCTGTCCCTCTGTTACTTTCATTTCCAGTTAGCTTGTCAAGTTGATTCTACATCCAAATCTTTCTTCTCTCAAATCTTCCTTTTCCCCATTTTTCTACCTCCTGGAAATCTGCCAGCACCCTGTGAGTCACCATTATCTCTTATTGGTCTACCACAACAACCTCTTCCAAGCTTTCCTGCCTCTAATCCTTTGGGTTTTGTGTTTCCCCTGCAGCAACCTTTTCCTAGGTGCCCGCTGGTTTTAATGACAAAGCTCATTTGTCCTAAGCAGTGACCCACAGGCCCTGCAAGGTTAGACTCCCCTCCCAAACATCCCCCTCTTACTACAGTCTAACCAATTTGCTCTTTTCTCAGCCCCTTGAAGATATCAACTTGTGCCACACTGTTACTTCTGATGAAACACTTTTTACCCAAGCTTTCCCTGACTCATCCCTATTTACATTTCAAGGCTCCATGTAAAAGTCACACCCTCAGAGGGGTTTTCATTGGCCTCTTAAGCCCCCTTCAGTCCCCTGCACCTTTACTCCCCCTTACAGCACTTATCACACTTGCTATCCCTGCACAGTAACTTCAGTGAGTGCTGGAAACACAGGGAACCAGGACGAAGGGCACCAGAGAGACAGGCTTCTCAGAGAACACAGACTGGAATTCTCTTTTTGTGTGTGTCTCTCTCAATCTCTTTCTTTTTTCTCTTTCCTTTCTTCTGTGCCTCCTTCTCAGCTTTAGCTTCAAAGGGAAAGATGAATGATCCGCTTATGGAAGGCAGAAAGTCAAACAAATGCTTGCCACAACCATGCAGGGTACAAATTGGGAAGCAAGAGCCCTTGGGGATTTGAGTGTTATTGTCTAAAGGGATTACATCCCCAAATGCAACAAGGCTGGTTTATGATATATATATTTTTTTTAGGATAAACTTAAAAACTGGTTAGGTCAAGCAATGCTTTCTAAGGGAAGTTATCTATAGTACTTCTATTCCATCCTTCTGGTTCTCCCTGCAACAAGGCTGCGTTAAAGAGAACCTCTCCAAAGCAAAGGACTTTCCCTACTCTGAAGCCATCATTTCCGAGAAAGAACAGCATACCACAGGAAGCTAATGGTGGAGAGATTACAGCCCCGTTCAGAGGAAGGACGTGCTCAAGACGGACAGTCTGGGTGATGAAGGTGGCCATCTCTCCCTACCTGGCACAGTGCTTTTCTTCCAACAGAAGAAGAGAATGTTTTACATGAACTTTTGAAGCCCCCTCACAAAGAGACAGTAACAAGAAAAGAAAACATCTTAAGTTGCAATTGTCTCCCTCCCTCTCTCCCTTGGTTTTAGTTTTTTGTTGTTGTTGTTGTTATGTACCATGTAGTCAGTTCCGACTCATAGTGACCCTGCACAGGGTTTCTGAGGCTGTAAATCTTTACGGGAGCAGAAAGCCTCATCATTCTCCCACTGAACGGCTGGTAGTTTCAAACTGCCAAACTTGAGGTTAGCAGCCCGATTCATAACCACCATGCTACCAGAGCTCCTTTGGTTTTAGTTTACCTGATCATATTCTTATGCTTCATCTCCACCGTCCATTTCCAGATCCATCTCTTCTGTATCAGCCGCTCGTGACAAGATATCTGCCATCAGCGCTTCTTCCAATTTCTTACGAACTTGTTGTACTCGCTCTTCCTGTTTCCTTTTTAAAAACAGAAAAAGACAGTAAAAAGTTGACAAGTATGGAAAATATGAAGCCACTGCTAATGTTCTATCTTTACTTCAGAAGTTATTAAATGTCGTTTCAAAACCTGAAGAAAAGAAAAGAAAAAAAAAACCCCCACACTTCTCAGACCTTCCTAAGGTGGCTTCTACATTCTACAATCTGATAAAATCAAGTCACACAGGAGTTGATTTTATTTTACACAGGAGTGTGACTTGATTTTGTGAGATTATAGAACCCAAAAAGCAGGAGACTCAGACAAGCAGTTATCCCTTCATCTCCCAGCAAATACTGGTAGGAAGAGACTTATGTCAGTGACCGTTTCCTCCACTTCAAGACTTTCAAGTCCAAGATGTTTTGGTTACTCCTAGAAAGGATAATTAGAAGTAACTGGGAAGCAGGGTTAGAATGAAAAATAAAAGGGCGTGAGATTGGTACAACGAAAGCACTGAGAAAGTCAGGGAAAAGCAAACAGAGTATGCTGGAGTGTGGTTTGGCATTCTCTGGCTGTGTTAGGGGAAAGCCACACAGAGCTCTCTCCGTGGGTCCCAGGTCTGCAAACAACATGTCCTCATGAAGGAACCAAGACCCACCCAGTCCTGTGCCCTCCTCATAAGCTTTGCTCTGTTGGGAGCCTATTGTAGCAGCCATGTGCCAACCCATCTCACTGAGGGGCTTCCTCTTCTCAGCTGACCCTCTACCCTCTACTTTACCAAACAACATGTCCTCTCTCCAGGAACTGGTCCCTCCTGCTAATATGTCTAAAATACGTGAGACGAATCTCATCGTCCTCACGTCTAAGTAGTATTCTTCTTCCGACACTTCTTCCAAGACAAATTTGTTTGTTCTTCTGGCAGTCAATGATATACTCAATGTTCTTTGCTGACACCATAATTTAAAGGCATCAATGCTTCTTCTGGCTTCCTTATTCATTATCCAGCTTTCTTATGCATGTGAGGTGATGGAAAATGCCATTGTTGGGTCAGGTGTCCCTTAGTCCTCAAAGTGACATCTTAGCCTTTAAATACCTCAACCCTATCAGAAGGAACTGGAGCTCCACACATTCTCATGTAACAGAGCAGGATCAAGAAGAAAGCATTTGTTTATTTATTTCTTACACAGTTAGTCTTGCCTTCAGCTCAGAATCTCAAAGCTATGACAAATAGCATCGGCCTAGTGACATTCCCTCACACCGGGCACAGAGAACTAGCATCTGCTCGGCTGACTGAGACTCATCCCATTAATAAGATAGAAAAAATAAAGGAAATGAACCCTTGGGTTGGAGAAATGTATCTTGAAATCTAGCAATTGCTATTGATATTCTTGTATCTTGAACATTGCTTTCCACATTTATGAGAGCTAAAATTAGAGAATTTGCCCATTGTGGTAAGAAATAGTCTAAGCCCCCAAGATTTTCTCCCCTGGAATATATTTCTTATATCATGTTGCTGTTGTTAAGTGCTGTGGAGTCAGTTCCGACCCATAGCGACCCTGTACAGGGTTTCTGAGGCTATAAATCTTTACGGGAGCAGAAAGCCTCATCTTTCTCCCACAGAACAGCTGGTAGTTTCGAACTGCTGACCTTGCAGTTCTCAGCCCGATTCGTAACCACTACGCTAACCATAGCCGCTCCTAAAGGGTAAGCAGAACCTGTGTGTATGATGACATCATTCCGAGATTAGGTCACCAATCAACTGATCTTGAATTAATGAAAAGAAAGATTATTCTGATGGCACAGGTAACAGAGATTCGTAAGAAGGCATCAAGAAAGGGTCACGGGGCAAGTAGCCACAGCTAGCCAAGTTGTTGAGGGTTTCCTCCACCTGGGAGCCATCAAGAGGACAAAGACCTCAGTCCTACAAGCACAGGGAACTGAATTCTCATGACCCTGAATGGGAATCCCAGCTCCAGAAAGAAATGGGAATCCCAGGTCCAGTCAACATTCTGACTTCAAAGAGCCCACTCACACCATGCAGGCCTTCTGACCTACAGGACTGTGATCTAAAAATGGGTGTTGTTGGAAACTGCTGAGTTTTTTTTTTGTTGTTATAGTTTTTCAGAATTTCTTACATGGTATTAGAAAAATAAATACACCCATAAGAAAAATAGAATCAAATATGATGAAAAATATCTATTAAATAAACAGAATATTGGTTATGAGCTGAGAAAAAGAGTAATGATTCTCTGAGCATCATTGCATTTTGAACTAATTCACCAAGAAACGTTTGCTTAGTAATTTCTTTTTATGATAATTAAATCAAAGAACCAATGTGTTAGACAGGTTTACCCTAAAACGAAATCATCCAGAGCTGTCTTTGAGAAAGCTTCTTTTGTATCACAAGATGTGGTGTTGCAGTTCTAGGCGTTCACAGGACCTCCCTCAGTACCCAAAAGAACTGGTGGGAATCCCTGAGTTACTCGCCCAAGATGGAAAAGGACTGGTCCTTCTCTTAATTCTTTCTCAATGGTAAGCACAACCCAAAGAGAAAACTGATTCTCTGGTTGATTTTACATTTTATTTTTCTTAATTAAAGCTGATCATAAATTCCATGCAATGAGGCACATGATACAACTTTGAACCATTTTATCTTTATGTTGTTGTTGCTAAGTGCTGTTGAGTTAGTTCCAACCCATAGAAGCCTTGTACAGGGTTTCCGAGAAGCGGCTGGTGGGTTTGAACCACCGACCTTGTGGTTCAAACTGACCTTGCGGTCCAGTGCTTTATCCTGCAGCACCACACCAGGACTCCATTTTATCTTTATTAAAGGAAATATTTTTCAAAGGTTGTCCAACAAGAGCCTCAGCTAGACCCATGCATTTTTCATGCCAACTTTTTATGGATTTAGAATAAAATATACAAACATAAAATATATTTTAGATGACCTGCTTCAAAATTGTCACCTGCTGGTTTTGTCTAGGGATAATTCTTCAGTAAAAACTCCGATTTCTATTCAAAGGACAGAAATGCATGGACGCCTCAACTTATTGCACTTCACATTATTGCACTTTGTAAACACTGGGTTTTCTACACACTGAGGGTGTGGCTGCCCTGCATCAAACAAGTCTACAGGGATCATTTCCAACAGCATGTGCTCCCTTCATGTCTGCGTAACATTTCTGTAATTCTCATAATATTTCAAACTTTCTCATAATGCTATTATTGCACATTTCATACACTACAGTACAGCATAAACCTAACTTGGATATGCATTGGGAAATCACAAGAATTCATGTGAAGCACTTTATTAACGTACTTGCTTTAATGCAGATGTTTGGAACCAGACCCACAGTATCTCCCAGGGATGCGGTTGTTGGTGGTGTTGTTAAGTGCCATTGAGTTGGTTCCGGTTCATAAGGACCCTGTATAGGGTTTCCAAGGAGCAGCTGGTGGGTTTGAACCACTGATCTTGCAGCTCAAACTAACCTTGAAGTTCAGTGTTTATTCTATGGAGCCACACCAGGACTCCAATAACTGTCATCTTTTTTTCTTTTCTTCTTTTAAAGAAAATACAGTATACTCCAGGATCACTATAGACTAATGATACTAAGGTTCAAAAACTCTATGGTGCTGGTTGTTATGTGCCGTGGAGTCAGTTCCGACTCACAGTGACCCTGTATATAGTTTCCAAGACTGTAAATCTTTCAGAAGCAGAAAGCCTCATCTTTCTCCCGCGGAACTGTAGTAGTATTAAACTGCTGACCTTGAGGTTAGCAACCCACTACACTACCAGAGCTCCTTAATAACTCTACAAGGGGAAGGAAAAACAAAACAAAACACTCTATAAGGATTTATATCTGGCCTTCTCTTCTGGGATAGTTGTGCTTCTCTTGAGCAAGGGTTTTGGGTGATTTTCTATTTGCTGCTAAAAACCTAACCTGTGGCCCAACCTCAGAAAGAGTAAAAGTTGCTAAGAGTCATAGCTTTCATCCTCTCCTCATCCCTAGATCTGTTCTAGCGCCTAATCCTTTGTCCATCATCTCTGTTTGCATTTCATCTTGTTTTACTGTGTTGCTTGGAACAAGGTAAAGATAAATGAATCTCTAACTTGAGTGTAAGTGAGGCAAACATAACCAAGATAAATCAACTGAAGAGGTAACTGAGCTTAAGGCAGCATAACTATGATCCGCTTTACACTGGTTTTCAGACAAACAAATGCAGGAACACTCACACAAAGGCATGGTGAAAGGATTTAAGAGCCAAAAATCAGAATCCCAGATGGCAAAACACACTGCAAAAAAAAAAAAAGAGTGCACACAGAGTCCAGTTGACCTGGTGCCTGTCTTGGGGACATGATCCGGATAAGGCCCCTGTTATACAGAATGTCCACATGTCCAATCAAGCATTTGTTCTAAAGGCCTTATATCACCTTCCGTGTTTTTCATGAAAGCTGTGTTTTAAAACAGTACAGCTTTCTGGTTGATCCTGGCTAAACCTAATGTGTAGTATAAAACATATCCAAATGTAAGAACTAAATTTTCCAAGTTACATTAAACTGCCTTACCTAATGTCTTCATCTGTGACAATGAAAGCTTTGCAGAGGGGTTGAGATGTGTTAAGCCAAACAGCGGGGTTCTTTTCCACAGCAGCAGAGACTTGCCCCGTAATTGGTGCGGAACTTGTGTGCAAAGCGCTGGCAACAGCCGATAAAAGGGTCTCATCATTACTACCAGGACCAACTCCTGCAATTAGAAACGGGCACACGAATCAAAGGAAATCTATTGAAACCCTGAACACAGCGAATACAACCTAATACAACTGAGATGTTTCCATTCATGTGGAACCATACATTGAAGTTAAAAACTGACAAACAAGTCAAATCAACAAAGAATAAATACCATCGTATGTGCTCACTAGTTACTATATACCAAAGAGTAAACAGCAAACAATAGTAATGACATCACTGAACACGTTCATAAAACCTTAACATAATTTAACAGAATACCATC